AAAAAAAAGCACCTATAAATCTCTTCAATAGATTTATAGGTTTGTTCTGCTATTTTTGTATACAAATGCACACCTAGCAGAAGAATTTAAACAAGAGTTGTGCCTTAACTGAAAACAGAACCCAATGACTTTGCCACACCTTTCAATGGTTCAATAACAGGTGAGTTTTATATGCCTATACTGTTAGGAGCCCTGGTGGTGCACTGGGTTAAACATTGGCTTGTTAACTGACAGGTTAGCAGTTAGAGTCTACCAGCTGCTTCATGGGAGAAAGATACATTAGTCTGCTTCCCTAAAGATTTACAGTCTCCAAAACACCATGGGAAGTTCTGCTCTGTCTTAGAGGGTTGCTCTGAAGTTGGAATCAATTTGACAGCAGTGGATTTGATTGATAGTGTTGTAAAGCCTGACTAATCTAGTTGGAGTGAACAGCTTATTGTACTTGTCATTGGTTACTCAGTACGTTTACACGTAGCTCAGAAATTATCCTGTGAAGTAGATCTGGCACTAATGTCAGAATGTCATCACAAGTGCATGGTAAAAACCAGTCCTCCTTGCCAGCACTCAGTGGGACATCATGGCATAGTTCTCATAGACTGAGCTGGAGTCAGTAATCCCATACTGCACACATACTTTTCAGAATTTAAGGGGATAAAAAAAAACAAAAAAGCAGCTGCAAATTCCCATTTCCAATTCTCAGCCATCTAACCCTCTGCTTTCTGATTTTGGACTAGCTCCAATCTGGGCAGCCATTACCGTTTCTGTTCTTCTTGCCAAATTGGACCTTCCTAAGAGGCTGCTTCAACTCACACTGTGCACTGTGCCTACAGGTCACAGGGCCTGCGACAGGTCACAGTGAATCAGTTCAGGGAGAAACGCTGAGAAGCAAACAGCAGCTCCACTTCAGTCGACACAGCCCTCTGTTAGTCAAAAACCAGCAAGTCATCAAACCACACACATCTTTGTGTCAGAAAAAAATATGTGGCGATGGACTGAATTCTCTGTTTCTCAAAATCAAAATCAAAACTACTGCCCCTGAGTCAATTGTGACTCACGGCAACTCTGTGTGGCTGGGAAGAACTGCTCCATGGTTCTAGGTAGAACTCCCCCAGTAGGACTGGATAGAACTGCCCCAGAGGATTGGGTAGAACTGCCTCATTTTCTTGGCTTCATGGAAGCAGATCACCAGGTTCTCTTCTATGGTCTCAGAAGTCAAGCATAAACTTTTTGAACCACCCAAGGGCCTTTTGTTCTTAAGACCAAATGGGAATTGAGCAAGCAGAGCCTGCTGAACAGACAAGTCTCTGGACTTGGATGTTATAAATGTGTGTGTCTCTACACATGTCAGTTAAGGGGTCCTAATGGAGCAATAGTTAAATGCTTGCCTGCTAACTGATAGGTTGACAGTTCAAACCCACCAAGTGACTCCACAGAAGAAAGCCCATGGATCTGTTTCTGTAAAGATTACAGCCTAATATCCCCTAGGGGGCAGTTCTGCTGTCACAAGGAGTTGCTATGAGTAGGAAAAGACAATAGTACGTACCAGTTACACAGATTTCTCACTGCCTTCAAGTAGTTTTTCTAGCCAGTTAGGGGATTTAAAGCAGATTTGTTATATTTTTAAAGGTCTTAATCAATTACATTCATTCTCAAAGGAAAAAA